TATAATATCATTCAGAGCAGAGGTGAGTTTATAATATCATTCAGAGCAGAGGTGAGTTTATAATATCATTCAGAGCAGAGTTGAGTATATAATATCATTCAGAGCAGAGGTGAGTTTATAATATCATTCAGAGCAGAGTTGAGTTTATAATATCATTCAGAGCAGAGTTGAGTTTATAATATTATTCAGAGCAGAGTTGAGTTTATAATATCATTCAGAGCAGAGTTGAGTTTATAATATCGTTCAGAGCAGAGGTGAGTTTATAATATCATTCAGAGCAGAGGTGGGTTTATAATATTATTCAGAGCAGAGTTGAGTTTAAAGTTTCTATTACTGTTACTGTTACTATTACTATTACTATTACTATTACTATTACTATTACTATTACTATTACTATTACTATTATTATTACTATTACTATTACTATTACTATTACTATTACTATTACTATTACTATTTCTATTACTGTTACTATTACTATTACTATTACTATTACTATTACTATTACTATTACTATTACTATTACTATTACTATTACTATTACTATTACTGTTACTGTTACTAATTCTATTACTAATACTAGCGTGTGTTCTAAAGGTGTATGATGAACTGTGCAACGTGGTGGGAGGCTGGAGGTATGTCAAGGAGAACTCCTGCTCCAGATACTACAACCCTGTACACTTCGAGGTGGGGTTCAACCAGGAGGGGGAATTGGTGGATTTGCATTTATGTACAGATGTACCAACCAGGCGGATTGCTGTACAAGCTTATCCAGATATATGCTACACTCAGGATACAAAGTAAGGATCTGATCATGATTTAAAATTCATCTATTTTGTTAAAAAATTATGGAGGATAATTACAATTATGTCTAACAGTCCCTTTCAGTAAATATTTATTGTGAAATTTCTTAGGAAGCTGCAGGGGGAGAGTAGTTTAAACAACATCCAGCTGAACCTGCAGGGCTGGCAGGTAGTCACTATCAACCCTTTCTCCTGGAACTCCATGTACCTCTCCTCCAGTACAGCCAGAAGACAGTTCCTCAACCAAACCTTTCAAACCATGGCAGAAAGAGAAGAACCAGAACCTGTAGTTCTACAGTAGAACCAGAACCTACAGTTCTATAGTAGAACCAGAACCTATAGTTGTAGAACCAGAACCTGTAGTTCTTTAGTAGAACCAGACCCTGTCGTTCTTCAGTAGAACCAGAACCTATAATTCAACACTAGAACCAAAGCCTGTAGTTCTTCAGTAGATCCAGAACCTGTAGTTCTACAGTAGATCCAGAACCTGTAGTTCTACAGTAGAACCAGAACCTTTAGTTCTACAGTAGATCCAGAACCTGTAGTTCTACAGTAGAACCAGAACTTTTAGTTCTACAGTAGATCCAGAACCTGTAGTTCTTCAGTAGATCCAGAACCTGTAGTTCTACAGTAGAACCAGAACAAATAGTTCTACAGTAGAACCAGAACCTATAGTTCTACAGTAGAACCAGAACCAATAGTTCTACAGAAGATCCAGAACCTGTAGTTCTACAGTAGATCCAGAACCTATAGTTCTACAGTAGATCCAGAACCTATAGTTCAACAGTAGATCCAGAACCTGTAGTTCTACAGTAGATCCAGAACCTATAGTTCTACAGTAGATCCAGAACCAATAGTTCTACAGTAGAACCAGAACCTATAGTTCTACAGTAGAACCAGAACCAATAGTTCTACAGTAGATCCAGAACCTGAAGTTCTACAGTAGAACCAGAACCTATAGTTGTAGAACCAGAACCAATAGTTCTACAGTAGATCCAGAACCTATAGTTCTACAGTAGAACCAGAACCTATAGTTCTTCAGTAGATCCAGATCCAATAGTTCTACAGTAGAACCAGAACCTGAAGTTCTTCAGTAGAACCAGAACCTATAGTTCTACAGTAGAACCAGAACCTGTAGTTCTACAGTAGATCCAGAACCTGTAGTTCTACAATAGATCCAGAACCTGTAGTTCTACAGTAGATCTAGAACCTGTAGTTCTACAGTAGAACCAGAACTTATAGTTCTACAGTAGAACCAGAACTTATAGTTCTACAGTAGAACCAGAACTTATAGTTCTACAGTAGAACCAGAACCTATAGTTCTACAGTAGATCCAGAGCCTGTAGTTCTACAGTAGATCCAGAACCTGTAGTTCTATAGTTACAATAAATAACAGAATATACAGTGGAACCCATCAAGTTGTGGAATAGGAAGACGAATTTAAACAGTCTTATGTGTATTAGATGTTGTCAATAGCTTCAAAGTTAAATTTCAATTTATAATCGGTGTGTGTACACTGCACAATTACTGTGCCTTACTGCTCAATAAACTATTTAATTAAACTAAAAAAGTGAATTTTTCCCACCTCAACTTTTTTCAGTTTTTATCATCATTTGTAATTTCTTTTACGTTAATCTAAGAATCTTGGCTGTGAAATGATGTATGTGACATGATACAGTTTTAATATTTGTTCATTAAAAGTAGAAGATTATTTGATTTCTACTTAAACTTACACTACTTACACTACAGTATCAGTATAAAAGGTTAATATGTTTACGATGCTTGTAATGATTATTGTATGTTATGTTTTAAAAAAAATATGATATAAAATTAACAAAAAAAAATATAGTTTGGAAATTTATTACTAAAACAAATAATTCAAAGATTTGCCATTTTTTTGTGTATTTATTGAAATAAATTTTTTCTTGCAAATCTGATTCATCAAACTATACGGAAATAAAATTTAAAACGATCTAAAAGTTGCCATAGCTTGTTACCCACTATTTGTTTCGGCTGGGTATGTTAGATTTTCCTACATTAGTAATTATGAAACCGGCCATCAAAGAAAAAAAGCTTAATCGTCAGTCTAGTTTATAGTTTGGTAATCAAGTTATTTTTGGTTTACAAATCTGTTTTGAAAACGTCATTCCTCATTTTCTTCCACTTAATACAAGAAGATTACATGAGCAAAAGAATTTTTTATAAAGTCGTTAGTTAAGGCCGCATTACGGTATAAATGTTAAGTGTAATGTTGAATATCGTAAACATGTCATTTAACAGTTAATAAGTTACCTTTATTCGTTACTGTAATGTTGAAGTGGGAAATTCTCATTAAGTCAAATTTTATATCGTTCTGTGAACGTTATTTGGCTTATCGAGACAAAGCAAATACAATTTATGGGGGAGGTAGGAGAAGTTAAAATTAAAAGGAAGTTGAACTTTCTCTGAAAATTGGAATAAAAATTAATTAAAGGAGAGAGGTGCAGAAAAGGTAAAATGCTATTTCGCAGCTTTAAGCAAAATATGTGCGAAATCTTTCAGTTTAATGTTGTGCGGGCTCAGTGATCACCTAATCAGTATCCACAGCTCAATGTTCTCCAGGTTATGGTGTACAATGATCACTGAGATCAGTGTACGCTGCATTAAATGTACTCCAGGTCATTGTAAACATTTGTATTATGCGTTTTTGTTACGTGAAAGTGTGGGGGGAGGATGTTTTTTAAAAAATTAATTCAATTAAATTTTTAAATTTTTTTCTTCCCTATTCTTAAAAACAAACTTAAAATAAAATTTTAGATATTTGTTTTATTGACTTACTGAATCAATTGTGATCAGTGTTCAGTCGCGAAGGTTTATAAAGGTGACACAGCTGAAATCTAGTCAGTTCCTTGTAAACCTTTCAATAGCTGTTGCAGGTTATAAATATCATTATTACTAAATAAAAAGCCGTCTTAAAGGGAGTGACCGCCAATGTATGGTGGTTGAACTGAGAATGCGCAGTATTGTAGATAATTTTTTTATGATTCATTTGAGACATATGAAACGTACTTTGAATAATTTCTGAATTTGAGCGCCAAGTCGATGTTCAAAATCATCTATTTGGGAAGGTACGTTTAGATAATTTGTTTTTATTATATTAAATGATGACAACAAAAAATGTAGTAAATATTCTATAGTGAACTAATTAGATGTTTAGGAACATATTTCTTAAAAGAAATTTGTCATTAAATCAATGTTAGAATCAATTATTTCGTTTTCATCATTATATTGAAGTTCTTATTTTTTATGAATTTGTTCACTTTCTACAAATTCTTTAAATGTCGTTTTTTCAATAAAAATTCCAGAAAATCTTTGTAAAATAATGAGAGATTACAGAAACCAGTAACCATGAACAAGATTACTTATTTTCGATGATAAGAGTTAGTTTTTATTTTCTCAACATGTTCCTAAACAACTAATCAGTTTACTGTAAATAACATTTTTTTCGTTGTTATTTAATAATTTTAAAAAACCGATTCTCAAAACGTACCCACCCAAGTCGATGATTATGAATGTCGACTTTGCGCTCAAACTCAACAATTATAGATCTTTAAACGTTTCATATGTCTCAAAAGAAATTCAAAAAAAATTCTCTACAATACTGCAATCTCGGTTCAACCACCATACATTGCCGGTGTCACTTCCTTTAATGTTAATTGGAGGAAGACGACTTTTCTGCTTAAGTTTTGAGTTCGAATCACAAGTATAAAAGTAAACCAAGAGAATCTGTTAATGGATAGCTATTCTTTGTTTCCATGTTTATGTGTATCCATGATGTTTGAAGGCTAAGTAGAAATAAAAAATTTAAATCGAAATTTGCCTTCATGTGTTACGACGAAGACTGTATATTCTCTACTTTTTTATATTAGTGAACAAACTGGCACAATAAAAAATTCAGAAAAGAAGTTGTTGTGTTAAACTAAAATTACTTCTGCTTCATGGAATACTAGAACATGATTTGTAAGAAATTACATTTAAAGTTTATTAAAATCTGATTGAAAAGCTATTGGACGATTTTAAAAACTAGTTTTCTAGGATGTTGTTTGAGATAGGGCTACTGGTGCTAACTAGTGTTCTGTACATTTACTATGAAGTCACAAAGCAGTATGGATTTTTCAAGGATCTGGGAGTTCCATTTTTAAAGGTAAGAAAATTTAGTATTCATAAATTTTTATCTTAAAGAAAATGGAGTTCGCGCCCATTTTCTATTTGAACTTTTAATTGTAGATTAATATGTAAGCATCTTTTTGTACATTATAAAATAAATTTTGCAGATTTTATAAAAAAATTTTCGCGCATTTTCAAAATTTTACAAAAATGAAAAATGTTGAAAAAATTTTGGAAATTTTTATCATTCATAAACCTTCTCTGTGTTCACGTGAGACTCCACAAAAAATTTGGATCCGATCAGTTCAGCCGTTTTGACGTTTATTGGATACAAACAAACAAACAGACAAGCAAAGTATAATTATAAAAATAAAAAATACGTTGGAAAAATTAATTTTGATCTTATCAATTCTTTTCAACTGACTTTATTTTTCAGCCCTCCTTTCCTTTTGGGAGTGAAAATGGAAAGAAAATGTTTTTGGGCAAAATTGCTTTTCAAAACACTGATGTTGAGGCGGTTAAAGAGTTTCCAAAGGAGAAAGTATTTGGCTATTTCCTTATAGGTCAGCCAGTTTTTGTCATCAATAATGAAGAACTAGCAAAGAAGGTACTTATCAAAGATTTTGAATACTTCACCGATCGTAGAACTTTTGACACAGCTGATCCTATTGCCAATGCCTTTCTCACAAATCTCACTTGAATGGAGTGGAAGCAAATGAGATCTATGCTCAGTGGAGTATTTACCAGTGGGAAACTCAAACTAATGGCCAAGCATGTGGATAAAGTTGGAAAAAACTTTGAAAAATATGTGGCATGAAAAGCCAAAACTGGAGAGGAGATAGATATGAAAGTAGTTGGTGGTCTCATGACTTTAGATTCCATTGCCTCTGCAGGTTTTGGAATTGAGGTTGATTCCTTCAAAGAGCCAGAGAACAGAGAATTATGGCCTTGACACTTGTTGGAGCTCCGGGCTATCGTTCTCCTCTTGACAACATAAAAATGTTTTTTCTTGCAATTTTACCAAAGGTTGGAAAGTTTTTAAAAATCTCTTTTATGAAACCTCAGGCAGTCAACTTCTTTTCTAGTATCCTAAGAAAGACCTACAAGAGAAGAATGGCCAATGGGGAGAAGCGCAATGACATAATAGATGTTATCGTTGAAGAACTCCGATCTACAAAGACAAAGAAGCCACAAACTTTTGAAAGTGATTTTGAGAAAGATGCTGCTCTAGACACATCAGGTCTGAAAGATATAAGAGAAACTGGGTTAGATGAAGAAATACTACTGATTTCCAATGCTCTGTTGTTCTTTTTTGCTGGATTTGAGACTACATCTTCTGGAATTTCAATTATTTGTCACAAGCTTGCTCTTTACCCGGAGCTGCAAGACAAGGTATTTCAGGAGATTTCTGAAATTCTTGGGGAAAGTGAAGATGTCAGCTTTGAACAACTTCAGGAAATGAAATATTTAGATATGTTTATATCCGAATGCTTTCGTGTTAATACCATTTTGCCGGCACTGGAACGTAAATGTGTCAAAGACTACTTAATCCCAAATACCGATATCATCATACCAAAGGGGCGCTTTGTCAAAATATACACTAATGACATAAGTGTACGAGAGGACAACTTCAAAAATCCAAATGACTTTGATCCAGAAAACTTTGCTCCTGAAAACAATCCCAATAAGTTTGGAATGATGATTTTTGGCCAAGGTCCACGGAATTGTATTGGAATGCGTTATGCTCTCCTGACGATCAAGATAACAATGGTCTATCTGCTCAGGAATCACAGAGTAGTAAGATCTGGAAAAACTACAGATGTTCTTGAAATTGACCCAGCTAACTTTAATGTTTTCAAGAACGGAGTCTTCATGAGAATAGAGAAACGACAATAAAATGATAATGTTTTGTGTTTTAAACCATGTCAGACTGTTTATATTCTTAACATGATTTTCTTAATCATTTATCAAGTTTAATTTCACCACATAAAGATAATAAACCTTATCTTCTAAGGTCTTGTTAATTTTCTGGATAAATTTAAAGATAAAAATTTATTATTTTATTTCTTAACTGCTCTTACAAATTGATTGAATAATAATTTCGAATGTTTTAACTCTTTTCATTAGATGTCCAGAGTTTTAACTCTTCTCATTAGATGTCCATAGTTTTAACTCTTCTCACTAGATGTCCAGAGTTTTAACTCTTCTCACAAGATGTCCAGAGTTTTAACTCTTCTCACTAGATGTCCAGAGTTTTAATTCTTCTCACTAGATGTCCAGAGTTTTAACTCTTCTCATTAGATGTCCAGAGTTTTAACTCTTCTCACTAGATGTCCAGAGTTTTAACTCTTCTCACAAGATGTCCAGAGTTTTAACTCTTCTCACTAGATGTCCAGAGTTTTTGCCGAATTTCAGGCTCACATGTCACAGGTTAAAAAATCTTGAACGAAATTGATATTTAGCATTTCAAAAGTTCAAAGATCAAAATTCTTCTAAATATGTCGATCCTAGAGATCTATGATGTCGATGTTAATACTAAAAGATGAACCTGGAGTCGGTGAAAACTGTCAATTTGTTATTGTTTCGATATTTTTTTGGCTAAAATATTTATTATTATCGACGCACTTTTACGATTTAAAAATTTCCAAACAACGTGTTTCAATACGAATACTAGGGTCCATACAATTCTTTTAATATTACAACAATTTTACTGGTATTTCAGGACGTATTTAAAAAAAAGAGAAATTACTATCCCGTATACTATTCCGTATATATGTTTTATCTAGTTTTTACACATTTTACGTTCCATATGAACCTTCATATGGAAGGTCATTTCCTTTTTTTGATTGATCAATTTCTATTTTCATTAATCACCATCTCTCCATGAGAATTTTAAGGACTTGAATAATAGAAAATGAGCAATAAAGTTCTTGCATTTGTTAGGTTTATTTCAACTATTCTTTAGTGAAAACTGAAAACCTATTGCGAGTCTTAAATCAATAAAGAATGGTGAAACAAAAACAATTTAACTGAAAAAATATGCGCAAAATTGAATTTAATAAAATGCTTATTCAGTAACAAGTAGGATTTCCATTCGCAAAACTTTTGCCC